GTGTAATTATGCTGGGTTAGCCCCCTCAGCCTTGGACAACTATGAAATTGCCTCATCATTTGGCATTCGCTTCGCACGGTCGAAGTGCAGTGTTGTTGCGGAATCACCAGCCCATTGATGACCACTTGACCCTTGATAGCGAGGAGCTCGTATAGTCGAAATTCACTTAGAATCGCTGCCTCATCGGCACATCGTGGGAGTATGTCAGTCGAAGTCAACTCATGGGATTTTTTGTCGAGGTCCTGAACTGAGATCACGTACTACAAAAGCTAGATCAGTTTCCTTCAGTCTGCGACATTTGTGGCATCAAAAGGGGGTTTCCCTCGAACTCATAGGCCGTGTTTACAAGGCTACCTTGTGGGCCGTCCTACTCTGTAGTGGTTTGATCTGGCCCCTTCATTCTGAGGAACTGAGGCGCCTTCAAGCCTTTTCTTCTCTTTGGCTGCGAAGTTTTGCTAGTGTCTATTGGCACTAGCGTATCCGCAGTAGTGAGGTACGTATACTAGTGCTAGGCAGTGAAAATCATGCTAGTTCCTTAAAATTACAGATGACTCTGTACAAGTCGCGTTTGCTTAAGCACGTAGTACGTAGACCTAGTCAGCGCTTTATTAGGAGGACCTTGTTTTGTTTGCCTGATGTAGGGCTGCGCAAGGCTCGACATGGGCAAAAGCTTAATTGGCAGTGAGAAATGAAGTCACTGGCGACGAAACTCGGTCCGTTGGTTCGTCTCGCACTCGAGGCTGTGGTCCACGTGACCCGCCTTGTGCTTTGCTCAGGACTTTACTGGACATGACTCGCACTGGTTACCATTATCGTGTCTGTTATCGTCTTCTAGTCGGATTGCTTGTTTAAAGTGTTTGGTGCTGAGCTACCTGCGGGTTAGTCCCTGACTATGAGGCGAGGAAAGGGAAGCTTATGGCTACCTTTCGTTATGTGGTGGCCAGCTGTTTGTGGCCGCAGGTCGTTGACAAGTTCTATGCGCCTTAACCCTGGATGGTTGTTTAGTGCATTAAGGTTTAAGGCTAGTTTCGCCTCTCTCCCTGTTACTATTCTTTTTTAATGTAGGTCACCATGGTTGTACGGTGGGGTAGCATCGGTTCAAATGGCTGATGCGCTGCTGTTGAGGATGATGCTGATAAATGACCGACTTGCTCTTTTGCAACTGAACAGCTGCTATTTGAGTTTCATGGAGTGTCCGAATGTCAACAAGATGGGTTTTCCCAGTTTTTTCGGCGCGACCCGTGCGACTATCCTGGTGAATCTCTGAACAGTCGTTTGGAAGAAATTCGAAGTGATTGCGCCACCTTTTCATAATGTTTACAGTCTGTGTGCAGACAGAACCTGAGATTGTATTCGCCAGCGTCCTCATCGACTGCAAGATGGGTAGATACTGTGCATTCATGTAGTCATAAAACGCCTTATGCTGGCGAACTTCGACGTAGCATTCAATCTGCTCCGCTCTTCCCGCGCACCATGCATTCTCGATCAAACGGAGCTCTCGGATCAAAAGTGTACGCGCTTTATGTCTGTCCACACTAGGGCATCACGCTCAACGTGCACATTTAAAGCACTCAGTAGGAATAGCCGATCGTTCCTCGACGCGGACCGTATCGCGGATGAGGACTAAGAGTTAAACTACTCCTTCTCATCAGGAAAACACAGTGAAATCATACGTTCTGAGAACAATCTAAATTTATGCCGATTGAGGCGTAGATTAATTGTCATCACTCTGGTTGGTGCCAGTCGGGCTCTCTAACAGTTGGCCATTTAGCCTGTCGGATGGTATAAATCCGTCCACAAGTTTACTCGGTAAAGTGATATCGTTTCCCACTTAGTAGAACGTGTTAGCCAGAACAATCTTCGAGCAGCTTGCCTTAGTTAGCCAGCCTAGTTTCACTAAGAACAGTGCTTCGCGTGTGGCGCTCATTTGTATTTCGGTCCATTAATTTTCGCATGTTTTGGCATCCGGTCTTGTACGCTTTCCTCGATGGTGTACGATTGCGCTAGGCATTCACTTGGGTCGTGATTAGGGTTTGGGTGTTGGGCAGGTAGAGTGGGTTAGGTGAGATGGGGACTGGGAGAGGAGAATGTTGTGTGGAAGGGGAAAAGAAAGAACGGAGGTGTCTACGGGATCATGTTTTCGCCTATCCATTCCGCTGTATGAAACAGATAGCGCGGTACTCTACCCCACCGCGCGACTGCCGAAGCTTCATATGATTATCTGTAGTTGTGTAGTTCGTGGTTTATGTGTGGACTCATACGCCGCCAGGGCGTCCAAACCTGCAAGGTGAACGACTCGAGTCCTCAGCTAAAGCGTTCGACAAAATGTACATCCGAAACACAGCGGAAAATGCGCCATGAATCAATCGACTCACTCGGACTTGTCCTATCTCTCAGCTAGAAGACGGGTGTAACCCAACTCCCACCTAGCGGTCGCTGCGACGAAGTGTCCAGAACACGAATCCACGGCACTGTTAGAGCAGCATCGGGGACATTAGCTGTCAGAATCTCGCGTGCCACATATACCTCCACAGTAGTATGTGGGCGAGGGTGCAGCTGTGTGAATAAATCGCGAATGTCTTTGTTGCTATCTCTGTTGCCTGATATTTACTTGACTGCAATACTGTATTGTGCTTTCAGCTATGGCGAATATAGGGTCCGTATTGATGGTGAATTGTTGAACCACTTTTGTTTCGACCCGACAACTTGAGTGCGTGAATCAACCATCCGGATGGGGTTATCTGCACGCAGCGTGGATGAGTTGCAACGTATGACAACGGCTCTCGGTTCGCCGGAGGCCATGTTCGGATTCACCATCAGCGCAGGTCATAATGTCTGTCTTCTCTAGCCGTTGCCAGAAATGGAGTCCTTGAGCTGGCCACAAATCTAGCTTGCTTACACAGTTTTAGAGACCTCATCGAAATTTTACCCCCTCGGTCTTCTACTTTCAATTGGCTTGCAGATGATAAGCGAGCTGCACATCCGCATGGCGAGTGCGAGTACTGCATTCGGCACACTGAAACATCGAGTTGGAAATATCGTTAGCCGACCTTCGGAACCAAGTTGACGGTGTGTAAATCACTGGTGATGTCGGTGCTCCTCTACGGCAGCGAAACATGGACGTTACACATGATGGACATTCGATAGGCAAATCGATTTCGTCAGCAGTGTTTGCATCGGATTACGCACTGGCGTTGGTGTGCCAGGGTTCGTGACACAAGTGCGCCTCTGGAATGGCGTGTACGGAATGGATTGTATGCTCCTACAGTAACACCTGAGCTGGCTCGAACATGTCCGTCGTATGGATGCGACGATGACAACGAAACACCTGCTGTATGGCCAACTGCGTGAAGGAAAGTGTGATACAAGCAAACCAACGGTACGCTATTGGGAGATGATCAAGTTGAGTTTTATTGTATCATTCCTGATTGCATCCACCCTTTCCGATGGTGAGAACACGGGACGAGCTGAAACCGGAGCATATTTATCCCGATGCACATTAGCGTTTTGTATGCAGCAAAGGAATAGAGAGGTATAGTAGAAAATCAATGCGATGCAAACTTGTTCACATCTTAAGCTGAGCCTAACTGGTGAACGAACGTAGGTCTGCCCTGAATTCCACCTTGAGTTTCATGCAATTGCGGTAGATTTGCGCTCTTGTCTTGAGAGTCATCAGCAGTACGCCGGTACGCAGTACTGAAACTTCGCTGTTGCGCCACCACCGCCAGTCTCACATGGGTGGGGGATACTGCTGGGGTCATCCTGTCCTCACGCAGACTCGAACCCGCGACCTCGTATTACAACGCAGGCATGTGATCCTTAAGGCTGCTGGCCGGCATTTGTCTTGAACGGCGTTTGCTCAAATCAGACTCGATTAATCCATTCCTCTGACAATTTTAAAATGAATTACTGTTGATTTTAGGTGTTAGGTGTAAGTGGCAGTGGATCACCACCAATGGTGTTCTCATAACAAGAATGCCGTTGATCCGAGGGGACTGTCGCAACAAAAAGAAAAGCGCCGGTTACAGAGGCGATAGGCGCCGATGGAGCTGTTATATTCGTGACTGCGTTGTTTTTTACTCTCTTGGATCGTCGTCGTGGATTTGTTGCTGTAGCTCATGCTTTCGTGTTTGCTTTTGCCTAGCGCGTCTGGCAACGTTGAAGATGAGCTTGTTGAGGCAGTATCGATATGCGGTGGGTTAGTTTTTTTGCGTTTTCGTGAAGTCTTTGTAAGTGCCCTGCTTCCCATTCTATTTGATAACTTTTGCCACCTCGAACGTTTTTCATTCGCGACCGCGAGGTTCCATGCATCGCCTGGCCAGGATTTACAATGTGGGAGAATTGCGTTTTGCAGGCAGCGCGTAATGCTCGTTAGACTACTATCTTAACGCTACTTTTGAACTGGAATCCAATATTAGTGTGCGATTCTCGATGTACCGTTTTTCCTTTACCTGATGTTTGGTTCATCTCTTTGGTGAAGCGATTGGCACACATGCTGGAAGAATGTTAGTCGAATTGTATACTTGGTTTACTCACATGGGATTTTCTCTCTAGGTCCTGACGATGTTTAGCTAGTGCTTATCATTTGTTCGTCTGCCGAAGTCCGGTACTATTGAGAACCGAACAGTTTTTTTTCTTTTGTTTGGGTATCTTTGTTTTTTGAATGCAGCTCAACTCTACAACGCAGCAGCAATAGCACAGCATAATTTTGTTGCAGGCTTTTTGGATCGTTTCATTTAAATCTTTTCATAATGTTTACAATTTATTTGTTAGCCTAGAATTATGCTTTCGCTAATCGTCTTTCACCGTCCTTTTATATTGACTGGTCTTAGCATCTCTTTTTCACTTGGATTGTCAGCGAATAGCGTCTCTTTTTGGCATGTCGGTCCAGGGAAATGCGCTTTGATAACGCCCAAAGCACTCGTTACTTGATACTTTTTTAACTTCCTAACATTTTCTTGACTTTCTATCGCACTCTCTACGTGCTCTTTCTTCTACAGAGGATCTGTATTGTTCTTCTCGAAAGGTCACGGCTAAATTGATTACTATTTGTTGCCCACTGGTGTCCCCAAAGTTACAAATGGATCTTAAATAGTGAGTTTATGTATTTGTCCGTTCTTCTGCGTTCTCCCGCATGATCCTTCTGACTTTCACATCGTCCCTCCTGGTGATTGTTTCCATGACCTAGAGCTTTCATCAACCCCACTTTTTCACTTCGGTTTCGCATTCAGGCACCTAATAAATTTGTTTGAATTCTAGGAATTTAGGTAAGCAATGTTTGTTGGTTAAATCCCCCTCTCAATTTTATTAATTCGTGGTCTTTACGCGCTGCGCCTAATGTGCTAATTTCCTCTGCTTTTCTAAATAAAGTCATATGCGAGAGGTCTGGACCGGTTAATTACCTGACTGTGTTGCCCTCATCAGTTCCTCATCACGACAGGAAACTCATCCACTATTTCTCTTTCATGTTAAATCGAGCTAGGTGCCTTTCCTGGTGTCTATTAAATCAGTGTGCTATTACAAGAGCTCAGTAAAAGACTTTTTGTCTCTTAATTATTATTAACTGATGAACCTCCGATTTTTCACGGTAGATCCTAATTATAGCAGCAGCGATTGCTGACTGACAAATCTTTTGCTAAGCCAATTCCATTTTCTTTTCTACTTTTTGTCGTGTTCGTGCTAAGAAGTTTAGATGTTTATCATTTATAGACTATTATACAGGTTGCTCAGATCTCCACCATTGTCTGTTTTCTGTTGCAATATCTCATTTCGTTGCACGATGGATCATGGTTTCACACCTGAACCGCTGCGACACCGTCCACTAATATATGCGCGGGTGAGTAGGCTGCCTCCAGGCTTCCCAGATTTCTGCTGACTCCAAGATGTGACCATCGAGTTTCACATTGGGTTCTGTTTGACTACCGTTACAAAATGTTAACACTGCAGTATATATGCACATCTTCTAAATTTTTCGAAAGTGAATTGCCAGTATTGACTGACCTTGTCGGCATCCGGATAGAACTACTAGTAATGGCCGTTATGTTTTCCGAATTTTCTGGATTTGGTCCTCAACGAGATTCATTCGCGGTATACAAGCTGGTCTCGATCTACTGCGAGAAGGTGGTTGGATGAAGTGCCTGCGTAATACCTGGGTTCTCGTGGCGACATAAATCTTTCCAGGTTGGTTTGATTGAGTAAAGCAGAGTGGAGAACGACGCCTGATTACAGACCAGAGAACTCCGTGGGCACTCTTCGAATGTCTCTTGCGCGTGATGGAATCATTGTTTGCCTGACGCACTACAATACAGGGGCTGGACTAGGGCGGGCATTGACACTTTTAAGCTACAGCTTCGTGTGACGATTGGAGTTATGTTTCTTCACAGGCTTAAGTGAGCTAGATTTCCCTGCTATATATGTATATATATAATAGCCCGGTGCAGAATTCACAAAGATAGCCGTTTTGGATGTCCCACGCTGCATGAAGGTAAACAATAACAAGGAATCTTCAAATAACACATTCCAACGAATTTTTACCGGAGATAAGCTTACTGTAATAGAAGTAGTCAATTATTATCAACCGAGTGGTATGTCGTCTACTGATGAACCATAGAACCACACAACAACGTTCACTCTCTTTTGCTCTCATGATGATCAGCTGTCCTGCTACTACGCCAACTTTACAAACACGCAACCAATTTGCATACCCCTCTCTAGTTTCATTCGCTCCCTCGTTGCGTGATTCTTCATCGGTGAACAACCCTACCTCCGTCAGCTCAACCACATAATCCTCGACAGGGAACTGCCAGCCCTGAAGTCTGCTATCTTCGCTACTGCAACCTGGAATGCAGTTCAAACTAGCAACATTTCACGTTTGCGCTTTGTTGCGGATCGGACAGCAAGCTAAACTTGCACGCACACTGGAGACCGTTGTACTTGATATCTGCTGCCTGAGTTAAACACGACTCAAGGATTTCAGCACAGTCTACCAGCTGTCGTCACCCGTCCAATCACACACCCGCTTCTATCTTCACCTTTCTGATTACGCTGAGTCTGTCGCATCTGAGTAACCTGGTGTTGTGATCACCGTTAGTGCTAGAGCCGAAACACTATGAGGCTCCGTGGCCTTTTCAAGTTTAGCAGACGTCGAGCCGACTAGCGTGCTCTTTTTGTGACTTCCGCCTGCGCATCCACTCATTGCAGCTCGAATACAGTCAAGGACCAGTTCTATCAATACCTTCATTAGCTCCTCCTAAAGACAACTAAAACAGACATCCTTGTTATGGCAGGAGACTTCAACTCACATGTCGATCATTCGCCGTCATGTGAACGCCACTTCTAGAGGCCACATGGATATGATGAAATTCGCTCTGACAACGGAGAGCGATTGCTCAGTCTATGTGCTGATCACCATCGTTTCCTCTGCAGCAAGAGCTTACGTCACGCTAGACACCACTATGCGAAATAGTCCCCCATTGTTAACAGCGCTGCTCATAACTTGCTTACATAGCCATTATTCGTAGATGGCGCAGCACCGTACGCGATTACCAGTCATTTTGCTCAACTTACGATAAAACCGATTATGCATTGATGTGTGGGACTAAACACCAACAAGTAGCATGGAGTATGCAACCCCAAGCTTAGCATCCGTCAGACCGGTTCGCCTACCAGGATTAGGACCACGCAATTCGGACTGCCAGTCATCATCATCATCATCATCATTATACATGTCAGCTAGAGATGGTAAAACACCTCCGCTATTGTACCGCAATACATAAAGGAAATACATACATACATACAATACATAAAGGAAAAATAAATACGACAGTTGAATGCCAGCTGAGCTACCAGCAACGGATACGCATCGTTCCGGTAAGCTACTAGCCGGCTACTAGGCAAAAACAAAAATTTAATTACGTTTTACCCTACGAAATAAGATCGTAGATGGAGGGGGAGGCTAAAGGGATAGGGAGGGACAAAGAAACTCACAGCAGGAACGCCACTGAGGTCGGCTCCTTGCCATATCAGCAAGTGTATCCAGCCAAACGTGTTCACCGTCTTTTGGACCCCAACCAGGGAGCCGTGAAGCTCCAACTGAGGCCAGCTCCGAAGTGAGGGCCTTCATTCCTCTGGACCAAGTCATCGCTTGGCCACCTCTCCTCTTCTTCCACCCACATCCCCGGTGAGCAAACAACGCACGTCTCGGGAGTCGGTGGGCTGGCATGCGCAACACGTGGCCCAGCCATCGGAGCCTGGTGAGTGAAATGACGGTGCTGAGCGGTTCATTCCCTTTTCCTAGGTCGTAAACAAGGCGTTGAACACGCTCGTTACTCACGCGGTGTTCCCACCAGATGTGAGCCAAACTGCGCAGGCACCGATGGTCGAACGTAAGTAGCCTCTTCATGTCCGCCGATCTTAGGGGCCAGGTTTCGCAACCGTACAGTAAGGTCGAACGTACCGCTGCATTGTACACTCTACCCTTCAGGGCGAGAGTAATGTCGCGCCGTCGCCATAGGTGGCGAAGGTTAGCAAAAGCACTTCGAGCTTTTGCTATGCGGTTCGTGATCTCGTCTTCGATCCCAAGGGCGCTGATACAACTTCCCAGGTAATTGAATTTCTGAACGACTTCTAGCTGATCCCCACCAAGGGTCAGCACAGGGGGCGAACCCTGCCAATCCTGGAGGAACGCTTTGCACTTCGGTGGTGCAAAGCAAAGCCCGAAGCGACTGACAACCAGTGCTAACCTGTCCAGCGCGGCTTGACACGTCTGGGAGCTGTCACAGATGAGGGCAATGTCGTCTGCATACTCTAAGTCAAGAAGTCGTTCTCCTGGGAGTAGCTCCACACCTTCCAAGTCATGTCCTGTAAATGCAATCTCCATGACTTCGTCAATAGCGAAGTTGAATAGGAAAGGTGACAGCGGGCATCCTTGTCTCACACCGCTGGAGATATTGAAGGGTGGCGACAGCCTGCTGTAAGCCCTTACTCTGCCCGTGCTACGCGCATATAATGCTTGGATAATATTTCCATATTTCTCGGGCACACCTTTCCTGAGTAGACAATTCCAAAGGGCACATCGATCAACCGAATCGAAGGCACCTTTGATGTCGAGGAACACGACTACGGTGGGCCGCCAATATGTGTGACGGTGCTCCAACAGCTGACGCAAGGTGAAGATGTGGTCGATGCAGCCACGACCCCGACGAAACACGGCTTGCTCCTCACGAATCTGGCTTTCACGAGCGCCAGTCAGTCTGTGGAGAATTATGGACGCGAGTAATTTGGAGGCGATGGAGATCAGACTGATTCCTCTATGATTGCCGCATTCCGAACGCGAGCCGCCTTTGAAGATGGGAACAATAACGGAGCGGCTCCAGTCGGTTGGGACAGTTTCCTGCTCCCACAGTTTCACCAGTAATTCATGCAAAGCATCAACAAGAGCAGAGCCTCCAAATTTGAAGAGGGCTGGAGGAAGATCATCTGGTCCCGCGGCTTTGTTCAACTTCAACAGTCCGATCTCACGTTCGACTTCTGAGCGAGAGGGTGGATCCAAAGGGACAGCCCACGGAGCGGGGCGATCAGTGACCGGCGAATCGAACAATTCTTGCCGATTAAATTGCTTTTCAAAATGCTCAGCCCAACGCTCCAGACGTTTTAACAAATTGTGGATAGGCTGTCCACTCTCGTCACGTATAGTTTCACTAACACCAGGTCTCCTGCTGCCCGTTTCCCGTATCAGACGGAATAACTTACGATGGTTGCCAAGGGCAGCGGCCACTTCCATCTCTGACGCACGATGAGACCACCAAGATTCGCGGTCACTCTTCAGGCTAGCACGGAGTTTTGCCCGGAGCTCTTTGCGAGTTTCATTGTGCTCGCTTCCAGCCGGGATTTGCCGGCGAGCATCTATAAGTTCCAAAGACTGCGAAGAGACCCAATGTCCATGTTGTCTATTAGACATACCACATGAGGATTTGCCTGCTGCTAGTAAGGTCTGGCGAACATGTGACCAGTGACCATCAATTGTCTCCTGTGAGCGCTTGCTCAACTCGCATGTTAGCGTACTTCGATACGCATTCAGAACAGCTGGTTTTGTC